ACAGACACTTCATAAAAGAGAAGATTGATAATGGAGCTGTTTGCATGACTTTTGTTCCTATTACTCAACAAATAGCTGATATCTTCACCAAAGGACTTTTCAGACCTAGTTTTGAGCTCTTTATAAGCAAGTTGGGCATGATAGATATCTACGCTCCAACTTGAGGGGGGGTGTCAGATTTCTAGGAAATAAATTAGGAAATTCAATTTTTGAAAATAAAATCTGAAACTAATATTTCAGATTTTAGTAGTTTCTGTTTCCTGTTTTCTAGCCTAGAGTTTTGCTGATTTGATTTGCTGATTTTGTGGGCTTCCTGATTTGGTGGCCTTCCTCTACTATTTATCTTGTAATTGTCTCTCTTGAAAAATAAGAAGTGTGAATATTTTTCTTCTTAAAAAAACCTTCAATATATACTGAACTTATACTCCATACATTCAGTTTTATTTTTACTTAACAATGAACTTTCTAATTCTAGAGTTTCCCTCAAAACCTCCAATTTAGTATTGATTCCTCTAGTCTCATCAATAAAAACAGTATCAGCAGCAAATAACATACACCATAAAATCTCATCTTGAATGTGTCTTGTCAACTCATCTATAAGACTATAATTAAGGGGGAGAAAAAAAGTTTGGGCTTAACGTTGACTCTTGATCTAAACCTACAGTAATTGAAAATTCCCATGTTCCACTACATCCTTCTAACTATAGTCGAACATCCATCGTACATATCCTTTATTGCGTCAATATATCCCTTTGTGACTCCTTTTCTAAGAACCTCCATACTAGATCTCTAGGAATTCTATTATAGGCTTTCTCTAAAACAATAAAAATCATAAGGAGATCGTTCTTCTTCTCCCTGTATCCTTCCATAAGTCTTTCCAATAAGTATATAGCCTCCATCGTTGACCTCCCCGGCATAAATCCAATGAATTTCCAAACTTCAAGTTTTAGTCCTCGTCATTTTTCAATTACTCTCTTCCGAAACTTCATAGTATGACACATCAATTTAATACCACAATAATTATTACAACTCTGTATGTCACCTTAATTTTTAGATATAGGTTTAAAAATACTTTCACGTCACGCATCAAGCATTCCCTTTGTAGAATAGTTTTAGAAGAGTTTCCAGCAAGAAAATTCATTAAGGGAATTTAAACAAAAGAAAGGCAACTTCCATACTCAAATATGGAAACAACTTGGACAGAATGTACGGAACCAGCATCAGTGTTTTGGGCATAACTTTTGACTCGAAACTTGGAATTGTGAAAACTCAGCGGCTCTGGAAAGTAGACATAGTTTAATAGCAATTTCGTGAATCGCACTCCAAACAAGTCAAAACGGAGCTGCAATTCGACGCAAACATTTTTTGATAAGTAATAATTGAATTAAAAAGGCGTTCAAGAGGGGAACGCATCCCTCATACAAAAGAGGAACCGGGGTTTAAGGCCCCAAAGAAGCCAAAAAAATAATTAAATCTTCGGGAGAGGAATAGGACTTCCTCTTCACATAATTGAAAAGAAAGCGTATGATGTGAAGTTTCAGAATCGCCGTGGACGATTCTTTCCCTTCGAACATTTTACTATTCCTCTCCTTCCAAATGCACCACCAAACACAATGTGGTACAACTCTCCAATAATTGCGAACAACACTACTCACGCGGCATCCTCTCCAAATACGAATCAAATCCTTAGGATAATGAGGCATAATCTAACGCATACCAAACAGACAAAAGATAAGATTCCAACAATCCCTCGCCATAAGACAATGCATGAGAATATGAGCAACTGACTCACCATCTTGTTTGTAAAGGCAACACCAGTTAACAAGACAGTTGCCCCTTTTCCTTAGATTATCAATCGTCAGGATCTTACCCCATACAGCGGTCCAAACAAAGAATGCCACCCTAGTTGGAGCCATAGAAAGCCAGATAGTCTTCCATGGAAATTCAATGATATCAAAATCTGAAAGACATAAGAATAAGGATCGAACTTCGAAGCGACCATGGGAAAAGGGAATCCTTGTCATATCATCACAACCTCTGCCAACTACCTCCTGTTGATACATCAAATCCAAAAAAACAAATACCTCGTCCACCTCCCAATCCTGAAAAGAGCGTCGAAAGTGCATGTCCCACGTAATCCCACTACTATCAAGCCGATAACAATTGGCTACGTAGGCATGTCTATCAACTGCAATACTGTATAATTAGGGAAATAAATAAGATAAAGGCCGGTCTCCACACCAAAGATCCTCCCAAAAGCATACACATCTACCATCACGAACTTTGAATCTGATATGAGTAGAAAAAACATCCCATTCCTTCCGAATGAATTTCAACGCCCTTACTCCTTCCACAAGAGAGACTGGACAAGTAGACCAACCACCACTCTCTTCCCCATATCGGCATGAAACAAGCCTTCGCCAAGGGTGATGTCTTTCCCTCCCATACCTCCACAGCCATTTTCCCAAAAGAGCTTGGTTAAAGGGGTCAGTATTCTGATACCAAGACCACTAAACTTCATTGGCCTGCAAACTTGTTCCCAATTGACAAGGTGATACTTAAATTCTTTTCCTCTTCTACCCCAAAGGAAATCCCTTTGAATTTTTCCAATCCTAGCAGCAACAGAGCATGGAATTTGGAACATGGATAAAAAATATGTGGGAAGGCTCGATAAAGTGCTCTTTATAAGCGTATAAAGTGCTCTTTATAAGCGTAACACCCCCCCCCCCCCCCCCCCCCACCCCACCCAAAAAGACAAGTATTGCTTTTTCCATCTTGCTAATCTCTTCGCATACATATCAATCACAGGGTCCCAACTCCCCACCATTCTAGAGGAAACCCCTAAAGGCAAACCCAAATACAGAATTGGAAAAGAACTCACCCTACACCCAAGGACTTCCGCTAAAGATGAGATATCCTGAACATCTCCAACCGGAAAAAGCACACTTTTAGCCACATTAACCTTTAGACCAGAGACGGCCTAAAAACAGGCCAAGATGCACCTCAAATATCTAATCTGAGACACATCAGCATCACAGAAAACCAGGGTGTCATCCGCAAAAAGTAAATGAGAGACCTCCATCTGATGGACAGGATCTCTTCCCACCATAAAGCCCTTAATAAGATCAAGATCCTCTGCCCTTCGCATAAGTCTACTTAATCCCTCCATAACAATAAGAAAAAGGAAAGATGATAGGGGATCTCCTTGTCTTAAATCCCAAGAACACCCAAAGAAACCAGCAGGAGACCTGTTCACAAGAATAGAGAACTTGACAGACGAGAGGCATGTCTCTATCCATTTCCTCCATTTACTTCCAAACCCCATTCTCTGAAGCAAATAAAGCAGGAAATTCCAATTCACATGATCATACGCTTTCTCAATGTCAAGTTTGCATAAGACTCCGGCAACACCACTTCTCAATCTAAAGTCCACACATTCGCCTGCAATAAGAACTGAATCAAAAATTTGTCATCCTCCAACAAAAGCATTCTGGGAATCCGATATTATCCCATCCATCATTCCCCTCATCCTAAGAGTAAGGACCTTAGCCATAAGCTTGTAGATAAAACCTACTAAGCTAATAGGACGGAAGTCTTTAATGTCAGAAGCACCTCCCTTCTTAGGGATAAGGGTAATGAAAGTTGCATTTAAAGATATCTCAAAGGCACCAATAGAATAAAACTCTTGAAAAGTGCCCATGATCATGGAAGGCTGATTTGGGTAGATTTCCTTTTCTGAAATTTTCTATTTTCTTTTCCATGGAGAAAACCCTACGACGTCTCTATATAATGGAGAGCCATTCAGCAGAGATGATAATCTTTTTATCATCCATAATGTTCACTTTTATTTTTATTTTATGAATTGTTAAACTTTTTGCTAAGGCTAAGAGTCAAGCCACAAGATTGATATGGTGTTTGCTAAACGAATTCCTATGGTTTTAATGTAAGTTTTCATATATTTGAATTGATTCTACTATTTTGGAAAAATATTAGTTCTGTATAATTCTTTGATTCATCGTTGACTGTAGGCACAGCGAATGCTTAGTATAGTTCTTTGATCTATCGTCGACTATGGGCACATGAATGCTTTGGAATCCCTTGCGAATTAAATTACTAGTTTTGTCGTGTCATGAATCAACCGAATCGCGAGCAAATACCATGGATGGGCTGTGTGTGAATATATGAAACCTTAGTGTTTTATAAATATTATTTTTACTCAAATCATTCTCTGCAATCAAACCAAGAAATATTTAAAAACCTTTTAAATTAATTTTTATTTTCTTCCACCATTAATTACTGTTTCCCCTTTCCCTGTGGTTCGACCTCGGACTCACCAACAATATATTACTTCACGACATCCTGCACTTCGGAGCATTATTAAAGTTGCAGAAAAGGTCCTGAAATTGCATTTTTTAGTGTTGTATGAGGATTGTTGAATATTTTGGAATTTCTGTAGGAGGTCAAAACGGATTTGGGTGCTCTGATTTTTTGAATTTATCTTAGCTTAGTGAGTAGGTTTTATCTCCTATTTTTATAAAAAAAAATTAGAGAGAGCACCATTTTGGGCTTCTTTCCTTAAGTCGTTAGGTTTAATTTACTATATATATGCATGTACTACAAAGCAGAATACACATTGATCAATAATATTTCAAAATTCTCTTTTTTCCTAAACTATGTGAATACGAAGTTGTTTTATTGTTGTTTCGTCAACGCTCATTGCTTCTACTCCATCATAAGATGAAAAAAATCCAAATTTGTCCAATCAATTATAGTATTTTTAGCAAAGAAACTTACGAAAGCCATAACCATGCCATGTGTTTATTTAGGATGCTGGACAATAGCAAGGTCTTATTTTAGAAATGGAATCTGCTCAATTCTGCCTTTTATCATTAGAGAAATTTCCAGTTCTTCATAACCACAAGCTAAACCGTAAAAAAAAAAAACTATAATCATTAATGTTCAATAAGGAAAAAAGTTTCACCAAAAAGATAAAAACTCACAACAAGTAGAAGCCATATGATTAAGCAGCCCACACGGCTCCCCGTCAGGAGTGTGAACAGGACAAAGAAAACCCCAAGCTCTGCAGCTCATCAGAAGAAAATAAAGATAAAGCAAAAGGCAGAAACACATTGTGAATATACATTCTTGCCGGAGATGGAATGAAAAAGATACATACTCAGGTAACAACTTCCGCACACTTGTAGTGCGAAGTCCTGCAAATGAAGCCCCTCGATGAACAGCTCGAAAATGTGAAAGAAAACGCAAAAAATTAAGCCTCTCTGCCTGGAACGTCATGCCAGCTCTCTAAATAAGTAAAAAAATCCATAAACAATAGCCCGACCATCTTATAAGAAACAGATTCACAAATTAAATAAAAGTTTCTATTTGGCAATTCTAGCTATGCCCACCTTCCCCAAAAAATTAATTAATTAATTACTTTAATTATTTTTTTAAAATCTAGCTACCCAAAGTTAGTGGAGTAGGAAAAAAAAGGATTAAACTTGAAAATATGAAGCACTGTAGCATAGACCAGTTAGTCGAGTTGTATAAGGATAGAGACCTCAGTTAAGAGTTCAAAAGACAAGATCAAGTATATACTCACCCCTAAAGGGATGCCTTAGGATTTTATTCCGAGTTAGGGGAACATTTGGGGAGGAAATATGTATTTTAATACTTCATACTTCATTTTTTTTCCTTTTCACTCTTTTGAACAATCTTTTATTTTCTAATAAAAAAATTAATTAATGCATATAGAAATACAGATACCCTCCCCGGTAGGCTTGCAAATGAACCGAGCCGAGCCGAGCTTTGACTTGCTCGGGCACGGCTAGCCAAGGTCAGAAGGGTGCTAAAGCTCGGCTCGGGCTCGGACGAGCTTGTCTTAACCAAGCTCGGGCTCGGCTCGCCGATGTTCGAACGAGCTCAGGCTGGGCTTAGTTCAAGCTCAGATTGCAAAAACACACTGCCAGGTCTACATCATCTCATGATTCCATAAATGGCAACCAAGAGAAAGAACATGGCTGTGAGAAAAGAAAACGTGATTTAGGAAAAATAAAAGAAAAAGAAAACGTGGTTCAAAGACCTTCCGAAAGGACAAAAAAAATGGTTAAGAGAGAGTGAGAACATGGCTGATAGAAGCAGAGTAATAAAGTTGCAGTTTCTGTTGAAGAAGGATGATACCAGCAATAGCCGGCAGAAAAGATGTGATCTGCCATGGACGGAGAGGCATCCTGTAGTGATGCGTGGCTGCAATAGGAGATTATTGGGTCTGCCGACAGTTTTGCAATGAGAGTTAGGGTTTCTTTTGATGTAGTAGATTATAGTGAATGAGTGTAATCCAACGGTGGTGCTACATAAGTGTCATCCAATGGTGGTGCTAGAATAGTGGGTTAAAGGGCTTATGGGCTGATGAGATATAGGGCAAAACTTATAAATAACAAATTTCTTGGGCTTTAGAAAGTCAAGTGTTTGGGCTAAACTTTAATAGCAGATTTTGAAATCTAGGCCCTTTAACTAAACGAGCCTGTTCACGAGCTTGGCGAGCCAAGCTTGGGATTGCTCAAGCTCGGCTCATTTATTCTGATAAATGAGCTCAAGCTCAGCTCGCTTACTAAATGAACAAACCCGAGCCGAGCCCGAGCTGTTCATGAACAGCTCGGTTCATTGGCAGCCCTACTCCCCGGCAAGTCCAGGTAACACAGATAGAAATGCAACTTTCAATGCTTTGATGATCAATGGTCGCTGGAACTGGAATCTTTTGACGAATCCTGGATTTCATCCTCTCAAGTATTTTCTTCAAACTGTTTCTATCTCTGATAGATAAGACAGACTGCTATGTAATAATGGCTATTTTAGTTTCAAAAAGGGCTGGAAGAAATGTAGAATTGAGTACCCTACTGTTCTTTGGGCTTCTTTATGCTGGAGAGGTAGACCTAGATGTTCAGTCACTGCCTGTTTAGTGATGCAGGACAAAGCTCTAACGTTTTGCAATCTGCAGAAGAGAGGTTTTATTTGGCAGGCATTTGTATGAACTGTAGACTTCATCATGACACTAGGAGTCCTTCTGATCTTGGAAGAGCTATTTGGTTCAATACTCTTGATGCATAATCTTCATCAGTCCAGGCTGTTATGTTTGAATGAGTGGTTGGTTAGGCAGCCTTTTTCTACGTTCCACTCTTATTTGGAAGTGGATGTATTTAGTTTTCTCCTTGTTTTCTTAAGAGGGTATGCCCTCTTCTCTTCTTTGCTGTAATGCTTTATCTTTTATATTAATACAACCAACTCATTTACAGAAGAAAAAAAAAACTCCAAATACTAATTACAAAAAGGACATTGTTTTCTTGACATGAGAACATATTCAGACAGATGGAAGTTGTCAACAACCATGGTCAGTAAACACAACCATGGTCAATAAACACAATTTGACAACCATCTCCTGCCTCAACAATTCAAAGAAGAAGAAAAAATGTGATTGATTTTTCAGTTTCTGGTGTAGTTCCCAAAATATTATAGAGCTATTTGAAAGGTTTTTAGGATTCACACAGTGACAGTGTCAGAAATTTATTTCAGGGGAGGCAATACTTAACATGATAGTTTTTTTCCCATTAGTGTAGCAAGACAAAAAGCCAATAAATAGAAGTGCACTAACGGTGCAATAATCAAGATTTAAGAAACATGTCATAGTTCGCCAAAAATTGACGTAAACAAATTTGGAAACATAAGGGTCTGTTTTGGCAAGAGTTTCTGTTTTGCATTATCAATTTCATATGAAGCAATATTGTGCTAAGATTTATTCTGAAATACAAACAAGTTCAGTAACTAATTTGTTGCACAATGTTGCATAAAAGGGAAGAAAAAAATGTTTCAAAGATTTTCAGGAAATTGTATTCCCGTTACTTTTTGCCTTTTTTCCTTTCAGATTTGGGTTTTTCTGAAACAGATGTGGTATCGTGCAAAATGTAACAAATATTACCAAACATACTTTCTCAACTTGTTTATCTTTTTCACCAATTTGGCAACAACAACAAAAAATAAATAAATAAATAATAAAAATAGAAAAAACGATTGCCAAACAAGCCCTAAGTTTATGAAATTCCAGAAATTTAAATAAGAAAAAGAAGAACAAAAGAATAAGAAGAGGGAAAAAAAAATTTGTTACAGCTCATAGATCATACATGAGTGCAAGAAAAAGAATTTTGAATAAGATAACAAAAAAAAGAAGAAGAAAGAAGAAAACAAAAGGAAACGAAACATGAGAGAACTTTGAAGGGGAAATATTAGATTTGTTTGAAGAGGAAAATTGCAAACTTTTTAAAGGGAATTTAAAATTAATAAATAAATAATTGGAGAAGAAGATGCATAAAAAATGAAAGAAATAATTAGTGAGATTTTTTTAAAGGGATAATTTTAGAGGGGCATTTTTGTTAAAAAAAAATCAAGATTACTTGACACAAAGCCAGTTAGGGGGGGGCAACTGCCCTCCCGAGACCATGCTGGCTCCATCTCTGTCCACATGCATTAAGAAACTTTTACCTGAAAGGAGAGAAGCTACATATAACAGGCCAAAAAATTTATGCAAAAAAATATTAATCCCCAACTCTCGCCTTTAGAACGGACAAAAGGATTTATTCTAATTGTACGCTTCAAGTCATTCTTCGGGATCTTCATTTTATTTGCTTAATAAGGACAACGTCAAGTATCAACTATATTAATCTCTCATCATATCACAGTTCCAGCATCGAGTGTTAACTTGAGATGATTCTCAAGGAATAAGTTTTTGACTGTGCAAAGATGTAGAGTAAAGGGTGGTTGGGTGATGGGGAGAGGAGCGGCTACCGTTATGGCGAGCCCAAAGGCTGATCTGACAGGAAAACTATACATGGAAGGAATTCAACAGCTAATGATTCTAAATGAATCTATAACTAGTGGCTGTTTTCGGCTTTTTGTGTTTTCTCTTGGGAGTGCTCCCCTCTTGAGCGCCTTTTAATGAAATCTTACTTGTACACACACAAAATATATATGTATATATATGTAGTGGTAGCATTGTGCTCTAGCTTTTCATGGCGGATTAAATTGCAAGATGATGTCCCATAGTTTTTCCCGTTTTAATTTTCCACGTTAAAATGATTTAGTCTCGATTTGATTTGTGTATTAGTTGATTTACTGATTTACTATCTTACTTGTTTTGCAATTGGAATTAAGGACTCAATAAGATACTCAAGTAAAAGAAAAATATCTGAGTACCACGCTAAAACTCTTAACACATTTGAGAAATCAGTTGGTCCACCATACCAAGAAAAAGGAATAACAACATGGATACAAAATCTAATTTTTGTTTCCAACTACAGTTTATGCAATATAAAGAAGACATGTCATGTTTTTTAATATCAAAACGATTGAATAAAATCCACAGTACGCAAATACCTGCTGTAAATCCAGACCGGATTGTGTATTAAGCCTTCCAGTCTTCAACATATTCTCAACAGCTGTGCTGATTTGTTTGGAAGGAAATTTATCCATGATCTTCTTCAAATCAGCTACTGCATTATCTCAGGGTGAAGGAAAAAGAAAAAAGAAAAATCAATCCAGCAAAAATTTGATGCCTACTTCAGTTTTCCTAATTTTGCATATCAAATGCAATGCAAAAGAATAGATAATGAGTGCAAGTACTAATATCACCTGGTTATCCTAGAATTTTCTCCTATAAGTACTGCAAACAAGATAGACACAATGTGATTTAAGTGGAGAATTTAGGCTGACTATTCAGTGAAAAAAGATGCTGACTAATAAGTATATTCACGTGGGTCATCTCTTTAATTCCCATTGATCACCTTCAATTTGCATTAATTAGTCGGCTAAGTATCACTTTGGAAAAAAAAAAATCAAACCTCTAACAAATTGTTAATTTTACTTTAAACATTATAAACTTGAAATTATACACGACAAAAAAAAAGTTGCAAACTAAAATTTTAAAGATTTTTTAGTAAAAATAAAAACTATAAGCTCCGGAAAACATTCTAATAGGGAGCTTTTTCCCCAGCACTGAGATGGAAACATAAACTTTTAACCAAAATAAGGGGGACCAAGCCCTCACCATGGCATAGAAAAGAATGAAGAAGTTAGAACATGAAAGGAAATAAATCCCAGACTAACCACCCAACTGTTTCAGCAATTAAACCACTTCAGTATTAAGTAACCCAGAAGCATTCTAATAGTCATAGCTGTTACCAGTATTAAGCAACCCATAAGCATTCTATATGTATCTCCTCAACAGAAGTAAACCCAGGCCACAAAATAATACAACTAGAAATATAGAAATATAATAACCACCACTCTCACCCCTAGGCCCCAACATGCAGGATTAGGACTTCCAAGGGTTCAATATTCCACAATAGCGTGTTGCTTCATCTCATCCAACAAACTAGTTGATGTTTTCCTAGCAGTAATCCTCTTACTCCGTAGTAGCCACTGTATTCTCCTTTTCCATCATAGATGTTAATTTATGTGTTGTTTGGTTGAACGAAGGATGGAAGATTCTTCCATCATTTGGTTGGAATGAAGGGAATAGAGGGAGGAAACAAAGAGGGATGTATCATCCCTCCTGGTCCATGTTTCTTCATCCCACCAAAATTAGACAGAAGATAAGAGGGAAAGGGAGAAAAACTGCTCCATAAATTGGGAATACTCTGAAGGCAGTTTACAGGGGGAAAAGGAAAAAAGTAAGATACAGAGATTCACTGCACCATTTTCCCCCAACAGCAAGTACCTGAAAATCCTCTCCCAAAGAGGTAGCAACATCTAAGCTCACTGCACCTACGGATATGAATTCTGTTACCCTCAACAAAAAAAAAAAAAAAAATCCCTCTCTCTAGGAACCTCCACCTAACAGGATTATAATACCATAAGTAACATTCATCTCAGATCAGCACACAACTTCCCAATTAATTAAATGAACTTAAGCGACAAAGCTAAATGAAAGGAAATTTCTTTCGATTTCTTAAACAAGGAGAATAAGTAGATGGGGGTTGCAAAAAAGGGAAGCCTGAAAAAGGTTAATCCTACTCCACAATAGCAGGATTTGGAAAAATCAAATATTTTCTCCAAAAGGAAGACAAGGATGCATCAGCAGCCACCTACTAACAACACACTGTACAAAACCAATTTGGCCTGCCAACCTACTCAAATTGTTGGAACATCAAAAGCAAACAGCTTCTCTTGCCTCAATAAATTCCCAAACCTGATAGAATCCAGAATAATTCTGAGATAAACTGACCTAATTTTTTATATATAAATTTAATATGACAAACTAGCCTCTATCAACCCACACCAAAACACTTCACCTCAAAGGACCTCATTCTTGAGATCATCCTACTAAGAAAATCAACAACCAGGATGAATAGAAGTAGGGAACAAGGAATGGCGATGAGTCAAAACACTCAAAGAAACAAACCAACATTTAGCCTCCCCGTCGCCAAGCAGTGCAAAATGCACTGGTTTAAAACACTATTTCATCCATCTTCTCAACCGAACCGCATATCTTTCCTAACTATTACATGATCAATAAAAACCCAATTTACAAAACCATAAGTTCTTTTAAAATTGATATTGAATATTGCACTTGTAACATCCTTCTAGTATCACAAAGGGGAATCAAGACAGTACCCAAGACTTAAATTTCAAAAAAGGACCCTTGAGAGAGAGAGAGAGAGATCGCAATCTCCAATTTTGTAGAAAGTAACTTCTGCTAAAACCTTGTGTGGACTGCTTATAGATCACAAATCATAAAATAAAAATCAACCTTTCTGGATTGAGAATGACAGAGATAAAAGTAGTCATACAACAATTGACAAAAAAAAGTACAGAATTTCTCCACTAGCAAGCTCCAGGGAAAGTAGGACTCGATACATTCAACAGAAGACCCCTATTTTCAACTGCAAGGAAATATCCAAAAGGAACTCCAAAATCTCCTCAAAAATAAGCATCTCGTGCCTGTCCATCCAAAATTTTTCCATAACACCAACTCATGACCTTCTAGAGATGGAAAAATGGCCTGGACCGCTAGGTTTTCACCCAACCCTGCCCCTAATGGGATGGTTATAGAAAGCTTTTAAATGGTATAGGGGCAGTCTGGGTAAATGGAGGAGAACCTGACTTGGCTTTAAGGCAGGATACATATTAGCAGAATTCTGCCATCCAAAGTCCAAACCCCCCACAACCCCCCAGTGCGGTGTACAATGTAATTACTTTAATGTCTTTATTATATCAACATTCCCAATTTACCCTTATATATATAAATAAATAAATAAATATATATATATATATATATATATATATATATCTCTCTCTTAGGGTTTCTGTCTTCCTAACAACCCACACGCACACGCTCAACCATTTCTTCCTTTCTGGGTTTCACTCGACCACTCCTGCACCATCTCTGACTTTCCGGATGTCCCGCTTTCTCTAAATTCTCTCCATCTCTCTAGGTCTCCACTTCTCTATGCCTCTACACTTTTGTGGCGCCTCTTTTCCTAAATTTCTTCAACATCAGTCTTTGTATAGGGAACTATATACATATTTGGTATTTATTTTCGGATTTTTTTATGATTATGATATGTGATGGCTTATTGACATTTTTTTGGTTTGAACCTGTACTATTTTTCACATATCCATACTATAACAATGGGCGGTCTTGGTCTTAGGAGGATGATCCCCTTTAATAGGGCGCTTCTTGGGAAGTGGTTATGAAGATTTGGTAGTAAGAGACATCGCTTATGGAGGAGGGTTATAGCATGTCAGTTTGGGGAGGAAAGAGGGGGATGGTCTTCTAGGCCGGTTAGATCTGTTGTTGGCGTGGGAGTGTGGAAATTTATTCGCAAGGGATGGGACGAGCTTTCTAAGCATATTAGGTTCAAAGTTCGAGAGGGCAAGGATGTTCGGTTTTGGAAGGATTATTGGTGTGGGGATTGCCCGTTGTCTCGGTTGTTTCCAAGACTTTTTAGGATTGTTGCGGAGTATGGTAGCGGACTATAATCGGCTTGATAGCACAAGGCTTACGTGGGATATGCGTTTTCGGCATTCTTTTCAGGATTGGGAACTTGAGGATGTCCTTGGCCTTTTGGATAGACAGGATTTAGATGGTAGAGGGTCTGGCTCCTTGGTTTGGATTCCTTCTCCTAAGGGGAGGTTTGATGTCCGTTCTTTGTTCCTTTGCCTCGCCAGTTTTCATGGCTATAGTTTCCCCTGGAAGACGGTTTGGCGTTCAAAGGCTCCTCTCAGGGTGGCATTTTTTGTTTGGACTACGGCTTTGGACAAGATTCTGACTCTGGACAATTTGAGAAAGAAAAGACAGATCACAGTCAACTGGTGTTGTATGTGAAAGAATGATGGAGAGTCTGAGGATCACCTTCTTTAGCATTGTCCTACGGTTTATGATTGCTGGAGTCTTATTTTTGGTCTTTTTGGCATCCATTGGGTTATGCCTCAGTCTTCAAGGGAGTTTATTGACATTTGGAGGGGCCAAAAGGTGGGGGGCCATGCCCGTGTCTGTTGGAGGGTGACCCCTCTTTGTGTTTGGTGGAGCATCTGGAAAGAGCGAAATAAAAGATCTTTTGATGGGGAAGAAACCTCCATTGGGGTGTTGATATTTGCTATTATTAGTTCTCTTTTTAGTAGGGTGATGGGGAGAAATTGTATATCTTTAGATGTGATTGTGGACTTTTTGGGTTCCTTGGGTTCATAGGGTTTTTGTTTGGTTTCTTGTATATCTCTTGGGATGTGTTCCCCTTTTGAACACTTTCTAATACATTTTATTTATCAAAAAAAAAAAAAAAAGATTCTTCTTCACACACGATATCCAAGATTAGACGGGGAGAAACAAGCCAAGTTCAGAAACTAAAGTTCGGATGATAAATGGGAACAGAATCGGGAGTGAAAACCAATCCTGGGTCAGGGATGGGGAGAGCTACAGGACGTGGTAGGGTTTTGGGAAAGTGGAAACCATCCCAAACCCTCTCCATTGTCTTCCCTTCTCCTCATAAATTTACCTCATATTTACCCAAATCATTCAAGAATAACTGCAAGGATGAATTATTTTCAACAATTACAAAAAATATCATAAATAATTTCAATGGCATGAAGAGCAAAAGGCCAAACTACAACTTGGATAAAACCATGATGAGTGTTCATAAAAAAAGTCCAGTGAAAAACCATATAAGAAAATCAAATCAGTGTAAGATCTAGAAAATTAAGAAGATACTAGCTTTACCAGGGGGGTAAACAATACAGATATATACATGTATGTATGTATGTATGTAAGGAAGAGGATATAACGTACAGTTGCTGATGTCAAAACTTCCGCTATTTTTATCGATTTCATCTTGAAGAAGCCGTCTCACCTTTTGTAGCCACTCTTCCAGTTTTTCCTAGAATGCACAAAAGACAATGTGCATATACAATTCAGAATTTGTATGTTAGTATAATAATATTAAAATCAAGTCAAACAACAGCATAAAACAAAAGTTAATACCATATAGAAAATCTCCAGCCAAGTACTTAAATAATAATATTACTACATAAGCTATTACAACATGAGCTAGTAAGCATAGCATTAAGCTTCTACCCTATAGCACCAGAATTGCTGGATTCCAATGTTTCTCTCTTAAAAATGACTTTTTTTTTACAAAGAAGAGGAAGGACAACCCAGTTGGATGCAGAATGTGAAAACAAGATAGTTATAGCTGTCCAATGCAGTTGTTCAATGACCAACGGGCCAGTGGCCTAGCGGTATCAGCCTCTTACCTCCCAAAGGGAGGTTAGGGATTCAAGTCTCAGAAGAGACAAGTGTGTGAGTACCAACTGGGGAAAAAAAAAAAAAAAAAAAAATGCAGTTGTTCAATGCTGCATTGAACATATAGCATGTATTTATGTCATCATCATCAAAAGAAGCTTAACTACCACCCTTCTATATTAAGAATAGGCAAGGCACCTGAAGATGCTGTGACAAAATAATATAAGCAGAATCACGTCAAACATAAATAATATATAATTACAATATTCAAATGCACAGTTTAACATCATAAATTACATGAAAACTTATATTATTTCGTGGTATGTGAGGGCAGTAGATGACACAGAGAAGGGCAAGTGGTGAAGGCTGCACTGAAAGAATAGAAAGCTGACAAGATGCAATGAAATCGAGGCTGTCACTAGTAGGATAGTGGGACTTCTATGGAGGGTTGGTGGTGGATTAAGCTCATTTGGGGCCACTAGAAACAACAGCAAGTTTTCTAGTGATGTTGGACTCTACATTGATTTCTAGAGTTAAAGCAGATGCGGTTATCTGTCAAAAAACATATCCAGAGGTGGAACATTTCATAGCATGTTCAAAAAAATTGACAAAATAGGCTGATTGGTACTCTAGGATACCTTCACCTTCATTAAGTCTCAATTTCTGCCCTATCAAAGTAAAATGTCAAGAAGGTTGTGCAAGCAGTTAAAATATTTTGCAAACCCCGCCATCAAATTGATGGCCACACAGAGTCTGATGCATTTTTACAGCCATATGAAGTTCTGGATATACCTAAAACTGAGTTTGCTAGAAACAACTCACTATGACGAACAACTAAGAAGACACCTTTCCAAGCTGTCTACAATGACAAACCATGAGAACTATAAGGCCCCATTTCTTTATCTCTAAAGGTTGTGCAAGCAGTTAAAATATTTTGCAAACGGTACACCATCAATTTTTTTTTTTTATACGTAAAAGTGTATTAGAAAGCTTTCAAAAGGGGAACACATCCCGACAGTTATACAAGGGCCGAAGTCAAAGAGAGAGTCCTATGGACCCAAAGAACCCAAAAAATTGATGACCACACAGATTCTGGTGCATTTTTACAGTCATATGAAGTTCTGGATAGACCATTACCTAAAACCGATTTTGCTAGTAACAACTCACTGTGATGGACAAGTAAGAATACACCTTACCAAGCTGTCTACAATGACAACCATGAGAAGTGCAAGACCCCATTCTTTACCTCAAGATGTTTGAGTCAGAGCAAAAAGGCATTTGCTCGTCATAGAAAATATAGAAAGAACCGCATTGAGAATAACATCGTATATGGAGTTTTTCAAGAATTGCCAAACAGTGAAGGTTTTAAAAAGAATCCAATTAAAAGGACTGGTGATGGACAGCGAAGATAAAGTGATGCATGAACTTCCAAAAATTTAACCATATGACATAGAAAAAGGATTTCTTTTTTTTTGGTAAAGGGAAAAATAAAAGAAAAAGGATTTCAGTTCGCTGTAAACGGTTCAAGGGTGATAAAGGATAGAAAGAAGAGGATTTTCAATTTAATTTATGTCTAAAACATCCTTGAGTAGCTTAAGTGTGGGTTTCACTAAATCAACAAATCAGTAATTGCCAGGAACATGGGAGAAAATATTATAAATATTTAGAATAATAAAATTGGAAATAATGAGGACAAGTAAAATGCAAGAGGATAAAGAGGAAGAAAAGGAACAAGCAATTACAATCTCTCGGGAAAAGCCCAAAAGCTGCACATTTTCAACTGAATGTCATTTGAAAGAGAATCACATCTTTTCTAGTGAGATTCAACACTAGATGCACATTTATTTTGGGCTATTCTTAAATGGGGAACTTTTGAGAGTTGGATCTTTTTATAGAATTATTTATTTAGAAGAAAAAAACTCAAAAAATCTTTCTTTTTTCTTGCTGCATTACCCAAAAAAAAAAAATCAGATACGTGAACAAACTGTTTGATCGCTGGGTACTCATTTTTTTTTTTTTTTTTTTAATTTTTTTGACAATTAAAATCGGTGGGTACTGATAAACAAATATTTCTCAACTTTTCAAAGTACAAGGGAAGTGATGATTAGAAGCAAAATTATAAAAACTTTAAAGTGGTAAGATATAATTTGGAACTCAAAATACGCAGTAACAACTCAAAAATACTCCCTCCCTTCCTCCCTCTCCCCGTGTGTTTGTGTGTGCGTCCTCCTATAATTCTTCTCTAGATCCCTCTTGAGCTCAACCAATATCCCTTCCATGCCGGTGGGAAATCGCCATTTTTTACCAGTGCTTCATGTCAGGTGTCATGCAGCAGACGTGGAACATGAAAGAGTTTTAATTGTGTCCATTTCTTTGGAAGCGTTTTAGCTCTCCATCCCTTAACCTTGGTTTTGGGTTCTTCAACACATTATGTATACTGTGGTTGTCTGGATGCAGATGTGTTTATGGATGTCCTTCGCTTCCTTTGCTCTCAATTTAGAGTTACCAAGTGAAAAAGAATGGAACGGACTCTTGTTTTTGTGAGCTGTGTTCTTGAAAATCTTTTAAGCTCACCTCACCTTCTGCAGCATGTGCATAATGTCAATGGTGATTCATTGCTTGAGATTATACGGAGTGTTTTTCCACTTCTGATTTCTGGTGCCGGCCACTGTCCAGTCCTCCTCATCGTTTTAAGGTTTTAGTGGAGTGCTATGAAAAGGTAAAGCAGGGTTTCCCTCGTTGAAAACATCGACCAACAGTTTGTGGCTTGATCGGATCAAGGTTTTGGGTCGATCGACAGTATGTGGCTTGGTCGGATCGAGGTTCTGGGCCCATCGATCGACAGTTTGTGGCTTGATCGGATCAAGGTTCTGGGCCCATGGATCGACAATTCATGGCTTGGTCGGATCGAGGTTCTAGGCCGTCGATCAACAGTTCGTGGCTTGGTCGGATTGAGGTTCTGGGCCCATTTTCAGCTGGATCTGGTATATGTGTTCGGTTAGATCTTTTGATGGGGAAGAAACCTCCTTGGTTTTGGAGATCGGAGGATCTCTTCCATGAAGGGAGAATTGATCGTCCGAGATGACATCCAAACAACCTCGTTGTTCATTGGAGGCGCCTTTCAGTCGTGTTGTTGCTTTCCAGTGACCCTTTGGTCATGAGTGCTTATATCTAACTGGTGCAATTAGTCGAACGTCTTGTCTGCAGTTGATTCTCTCGACCATGAAGGAATAACCTCAACACGTTCCACCTCGTCTACCGGCCCAGGCCTCCTGTGTTATGGGTCCATATGGATGGATCTTGCTCTCTCTGCCCGCCGGTTGACATTTGTCACCTCCACCCTCTCATCCTCTATCAGCGGACGAGGGGGTGGTGGTGCTTCCCTTCGCTCCATCCTGGATCTGAGCTCGGTGTTCTCTCGTTGTAGAATTTCAATGATCTGTATCAGCTCATCATGCCTGACTCATTTGTTCTCGTCCTGTTGACGGGAGCCTCCCTCTCCAAATCATGGATCCCAATCGGAGCTGTGTCATAGTTTTGGTGCTGAAATCGATGGATCTTTCTCTTCACTTCCTATAGACGGCACCAGATGAAGATGCAAGAAATTTTCTTTTCTATTATGGAAAGTTTTTCTCACACTCCAAACAATCTCCCTCTTCTTTCTCTCTAACTTATAGAACTTTACATTTTACCCTAAACTTTCTTCTTGGTTTCCAAGTTGGGAGCCAATGGGCTGGATTTCCCCTCTCGGGCCATATGGCCTGGAGGCCCGCTTCTACTATGTATGCGGCTGGGCCTGTAGGTCACTGAACATTTTTCTGAAATGAATGGGTTGGGCCGGATCTGGCCCATTGGAATTACAGGACCTCTCGATAGGATTCTGCTATGATGCATTGGACTAAATTTCATATTTTTTAAAATATATATATATATATATATTTACTTTAGGCCCTTGTTCTAAATAATGCTTCAGAGATAATTTAAACTTGACACTTAAAAAGCCACATTAAAAATATTACTCGCATGTTTCTTTTCCCAATTACTTTACATTTGTTGCATTTATCGATCTACTTCTATCAATTAGTATCAATATTTAAGTCTATATTGTGATCCACGTACATAGAATAGATACTAAAAAATATATAGAAATCAAATATTAAATGCAATGAAGATCAAAAAGAACATATGCAATTTAAAACATTACTCGTTTGACATATAGATAAAATATGAGTAGATATAGAAAAAAAAAATTTCCTTTCAACAGAGTTAAGAACTTTGTACCTTGAGATAAACAGTAATCAAGTGACCAGGCAGCAGCACTTCCTGATTTTGCAAGGAATCTGTGTTGTCTGGTGCAGAAGTCTGATCTATAAAAGAAAAAAGCTTCTGCAGCATGAAGCTAAAGCAAAGAACTATGTCATAAACTTAAGGAAAGGAAAATATCCAACTAATGTCACCCCACTTACTCCCCCCTCAAAAGAAAAAATAAATAAATAAATATGCGACAATAAACAACGCATAGCAACAAGCCAACATACAAACAATTCCAGTAAAATATCACATAGATTGAAAAAATATAAATGTTAACTGAAAATTACTAACATGAGCAGATTGAATTTGTCATTATTGTTATCAAGATGGACAAATATGTAGTCCTTTAGAATAGCCTTTGCAACCTACACACAAACAAAAGTAATGTTCAAATAGATAGAAGAAATAGAGGATGTCACAAAACCAGTTGCGGTGCAAAAGGCTTAAATTGCATTTGCTGTCTCCTCTTGTTGCTTTCCAAAACCAAACAGAATGAAGAAATCACAATCATCTCACTTACATCATCGCGACTCTGACTTTCCAGTCCATTCATAACAGGTTGGAAGTGTTCTCCTGACAAAGGAAGTGAAATAATGCCAATAAGCAAATTCTGAATTGTAGTGAACCATGATGAGTGATGGAGATAAGTACCAATATGCTGCAAGCATTCAGTCTGAGTAAAAAGAGACAACTCCCTAACTTCATCAAGAATGATTTGCGCCCTTTCACCCATAATCTGAGTGCCAACACATCCTTTTCCACCCACATATTTCTCATTATAGCAACATGTCAAGCTCACATATATTTCATGATCAGTTGTGTCAGCAAGGGCCTGTTAAGAGATATTTGCAGTTAGCTGCCCATCAATGCCATTAAAAAGATATCAGCACTGAATGCAGTTGGCTGGAACCCTATTATAGCCCATAGTAACATTATATTATATCAAACTGCACATTAATATGCTTATTTTTCTATTTCTTTATGCTGTATTGTGTAATAGAAATTATGCTTCCCTGACAAAGTCTTAAATACTTTCCTGAAAGTGCGAGTGTAAGTGGAAAACAATATTTTAAGATCTTGTTTATGGTATTTTCCATATGTAAGGTGAAGTAGTGACAGCAAAGCAAGTTACAAGTTTAAGTAACTTGACAATCCAAACTACCCTTGATTATGAAAGCAACCCAAGTCTGGAAACCTTATCAAACAAACAATTAAAAAACTATATAAAATAATCAGCTATAGGCACAAATACTAGTTAAAATACAATCAGAAACCAACCCTTGTTTATATTTTATTTCAAAACCATAATGAGAGCTAAAATTACTTCTAAAGAACAGACTATTATGTTTACAGTCCAAACAACAGTAGGTCTATTGCTCCTTCCATAATTTTGGACAAAACATCACCAAAATAAACTTTATGGCGGCCGCAGAACTCTTTCAAAATAATTTTCTATATAATGTTAAAACAATAATAATAAAAATTAAATGCACACAAAGACACACTCATGCACCACCGAGAAGGCAAGAACAACAACAAAAACACATCTGAGACTAGAATATGACTTGTGAATCAGCTTTCTAGACATTGTTCAAGGTTCTCATAGTGTATGTTATCAAGGGACAACACAATTTTGGTAGATGAAACTACAGAACGGGTTAATTGTAAGTCAAAAAAATTTGGTACATGAAACTACAGAATAGGTTAATTGTAAGTCAGTACTGACGAGATGGTTGGGATTTTATGTGGTTTCCGTTAAGCAAGACAATTACAATATGTAAATTCAAACCTTAAGTGAAACTAGAAGTAGAACCAATGTATAGTGGAACTTGATAGCCAATCAACACATTAGAGCGACTAATACTGCTATATTCAACTCAACAAAGTGTTTTCCGAGCTAGTTGTGGGCAGTTACATGAATCCTTTTTTTCCATTATCTATTGCCATAGGCTCAATCAAACCACATGTTATCACATCTTTCCTAACTAACTCTACCCAAGTTAATTTTGATCTTCCGTTCCCCTGGCATTGCCCTAAATGCAGACCATGTCACTCTTCCTAAATGGCGCACTTAACCATCACACTTTGCACAAGTCCAAACCATCTTAATCGAATTTCTCCCATTGTATCTCCAATGGGTGTCACTTCAACCATCTCACAGATGTATTCATTTCTAATTAAATCCTTGTCTTGACGCACATTCGTCTCAACATTCTCATTTTCACCACTCACTATATCCATATGTTGATTTTTTAACCGCAATACATTGTCTCTCATAAGAACAGATGTCAAATAGCTGTATAAATAGACTTCCCATTTCAAACTTAGAGGGATACATCATAGTGCCAACTTCTGTTAAGTGATAAAAATTTATATATCAAAAAAAAGTTAAAAGGAAAATACTATAAGACTGTCATTAGACCAACTATTTACTGATTACTTCTCGGAATTGTTCACTGAACCAGCTGGTTGGCGTCCTCTGCTTGCTGGGCTACACTTTGACTCTATTTCTAGTGAGGAGTCTTCTGCTTTGGAAGAGCCTTTTACGGAAGAGGAAGTTTTGTCTGCTTTGAAGAGCTGTAATGGGGATAAAGCTCCTGGTCCAGATGGGTTTTCTATGAGATTCCTTTTGGAGTGCTGGGAAGTGGTCCGTGAGGAGGTGATGAGCTCTTTTCACGCCTTCCACGTTCAGGGTTCTTTTGAAAAGAGTTTGAATGCCACCTTTCTTGCTCTTATTCCGAAGAAGGGAGAAGCGATGGATGTTAAGGATTTTCGTCCTATCAATTTAGTAGGATGTTTTTACAAATTGATTGCGAAAGTTTTGGCTTCCAGGTTGAGGAAAGTTATGGATGGCGTCATTTCTGATTCTCAGAATGCTTTTGTGGGAGGTCGTCAAATTCTGGATTCAGTTCTTATTGCCAGTGAATGTGTGGATTCCTGGTTGAGTAGTGGGATTCCAGGTGTTTTATGTAAACTGGATATTGAGAAGGCGAATGATCATGTTAGTTGGAGTTTCCTTCTCTACTTATTGGAGAGGATGAGCTCATAGTTATTAAAAGCCCAAGGCGCACCGAGGCGCTAGAGGTCCCTTGGAGCCTAGGCGCGAGGCGCACGGCGAGGCGCGAGCCTAAGTGATGTGAGGCGCACAAGTAAAATTTTAAAACAATAATTGTTAACAAAAATAACACAATTAAACAATGAACATCCAATAATAAAAACACTAAATTAGTCTAAATATATCACAATTAAACCAATAAAGCAACTAGAAAAATAGAACAATTAAACTAATAAAGCTATTTATTCATAAGAAAGATTCAAAAAAAGCAAAACATAAACCAATTAACCATATATTATAAATTTATACTTGATGTCTTAAGCAAAAGCTATCATTTGACTCCAAAACAGATCCATCAAAAGATACTTAGTAGCCTACCAAATCTATAAAGTATCATAGTCAATACTTAGTAGCCTACCAAATTTATAAACCAAGCAACATAATATCAGTTTCAGTTTTGAGTTTTAGCAAGGACTCCTAAAACCAAAGTTACCAAACAATCTTAAGGGACCTAAATATCATCCTCTTCACCAAACAACATAGTCTCATCATCGTCCCCATCAAAAGATTTGTAACCCTCGGCATCTTCTTCCTCTTCTGTGTCCTCAGAGTTTGCCTCGTCATCATCTATGATTCGTAATGAAGACGAGCATGAAGGTGTTGTCCTCTTTGTTGCCCTTGGAGCTGATCTTGATCTTAAATTATGGCTGGACTCTCCAGCCCCGGTAGCTCTAGCAACTGCACCCCATGTCAAAGAGTCATCTTCAAACACCAACTCATTTTCGGCATCTACATCTTCATCCATTATTCCAACCAACCACTCATTGCTATCATCTATATCATTTAAAAGGATTGGATCGATCCTATCACGCATATCATATCGTCGTTTTAGTGCTCTATTATACTTGATGAAAACCAAATCATTCAATCGACATTGAGTTAGCCGGTTCCTCTTCTTGCTATGAAGCTGCATTAATTCAAATAATTAATAAGTATAAGTGTATAACTATTTATAATATAATTTTTTATCATTGAATTACTAATACTACAAACTTACATGTTCAAATACACTCCAATTTCGTTCACACCCAGATGCGCTACATGTGAGGCTAAGTACTTTAATAGCAAATTTTTGCAAATTAGGAGTTGTAGAACCATATGCGGACCACCAATCGGCTGTTATTTACATATTATTAGTAAAAAATTAACAAAATTAAAATTCAAATATACTAAAAAATGATTAATTGAGTTGTTTACCTGGTGCCCTTGACTTTCTTTGTCTAATAGCAATTGATGAGCCAAATAGACCATCAGCTTTCATATATCTACACAACTCCAAAGAAATTTTATCTTGCACTTCATTGGTTGGAACCAATCTTTCTATGCATTGATATAAACCACCCATCACCTCTCCATCTTGCTCAATATTTGGATTGCTATAAAAATATTCTGGGTTTAAGAAATGCCCTGCTGCATGCAAAGGGCGATGGAGTTGGATATTCCACCTTCTATCAATGATCTCAAAGATGTCCTTATACTTCTCCTCATTCCCACCAAAAGCTTTAGCTATCGCTTCTTTAGCCCTTTCCATAGCCTCATAAATATATCCCATTGGAGGCCTTCTCTCACCATCAACCAACTTAGGTACACGAACAAGAAGGCTTGCTACTTTGAGAGAGTACACAATGCTTGTCCAAAATGAAGGCATCAACACAATATATGCTACATTTTTCCCTTGTATCTCTTTCGCCCATTTACTGGTGGTCCATTCTTGTGAAGTGAACATCTTCCTCAAGCAATCCTTTTGACGATGGATGCTTGATAATGTGATAAATGAAGTGGCAAATCGAGTCGTTGCAGGTCTAAGCAACTCTTTATGTCCAGTATAACGCCTCATCATGTTTAACAAACCCGAACGGTTATAAATATAACCATTTAACATTATAGCTCTCTTTATGGTCATCATTATATTTGGGATCTTAGCAATGTCCTCCAACATCAGCTCCAAACAATGTGCAGCACAAGGTGAACAATACAAATGTCGGTGCCTTCCCTCCAACATTCTCCCTATTGTAAAGAAAGAAAATTTGGATTAATAGAAGGCTAGAAGCAATAAACCTAAAATTTTCACATCAAGTGCATATTGACATCTATACCTGCCACAACATTAGAAGATGCACTATCAGTGACTACTTGAACCACATTTGTTGCTCCAATTTGCTGCACGAACTTGTTAAGCAAGTCGAACATTTTTTCACCAGTCTTTGAATAAGAGGAAGCATCGACAGATTGAATGAACATTGTCCCTTTAGGACAATTCACCAGAAAATTAATCAAACACCTCTGTCTTTTATCCTCCCATCCATCTGCCATAATTGTGCATCCGTATTTTGCCCATTCCTCCTTATGATCCTGCATTAAATTGTCTGTATGCTCCAGTTCTTTCTTGAGGAGGGGAACTCTCACCTCATGATAAGATGGAGGTTTCATTCCTGAACCATGTTGGCCAATAGCTTCAACAACTGGTGCAAAACTATCATAATTAAGGGCATTGAATGATATCCCGGCATCATACATCCATCTTGCAAACCGTTGACATGCTCGGTTTCTAAGTTCTTTCTTGCAAGCACTGTCAATTGTTGTTTGCTTACCCTTGTCATTTTTTCTATTTTGCACAGCCACTTCCGGAGGAGGGGTGCAGTACAAATCAATAGGACCTTTCTGCTTCTGCTTTTTTGATTGAATATTATTGCTTCCAGTTCCACTTGCCACTCTTTTACCCTTAACATCAATAATTGCAACATCATCCTCATCTTGATCATCCATGTCATCAAAATCCGACAACAAATTTGTGTATTCCTTTTCTTCTTTCTTCTTGCTCATGTATTCTCTAATCTCCTCTTTCACATGTTCAGGGCACTTTTTACATGCTTGTACATTTCTATGTCCTCCTACAATGTGTTGCTTAGCCCTGTAAATACCCCCTTTCATAACTTTTCACAAAAATTACATGTTGTTGCATTCCTATCTTGTGGGTTTTGCAGGCGACAATAATTCCAAGCTGGATCCTTTGACATTTTTTCCTATCTATTTAGTATTTACAATGAGAAATAGAATGGAGTCAATGGAGTGATGGACCAAGTTAAATTCAGCAAACAACATTCACACTTTCAGCAAACACCATTCAAAAAGATGCATTCAAAATTTAAATAATCCATGTAGCAAAATTCAGCAGAACACAACAAAAAAAATAAAAATAAAAATAAAAAAGAGACAGACAGCCTTCAAAGCAGAGATTGAAAAAAAAAAAAGAAAATACGGTGGAGTAGATGAAGGGAAAAAAAAATGAAGGCTAGAGAGAACAAAAACAAAGTCTGAAATTTTACATCAATTAAGATGCAACAGACAAAAAAATAATAATAATTTTAAAAAGTCTTATTCTGTTCGGTATTTCTTTATTAAAGGGTGAGGTGGTGTACTGATTTTCCTACAGGTAATATAGCACTGCAAACTATGTTTGCTGAAGACTGATGATGATGAAGAGCGTACAGATTTATAGCTATACACCAAGAAGTTGAAAATGATGGAAAAAAAATACAACAAGAAAAAAAATAAAGGCCAGAGAGAACAAAAAAAAAAATATATATATATATATATATATAGCAAGACACGGGAGAGGAGTAGATGAAGAAAAAGAAAGAAGAAAAAAAAAAACAGAGACCCATAAGAACAAAAACAGAGATGGAGAAAAAGATAAAAGAAAAAAAAAAAACCCAGAAAAAGAAAGAGCTAAAAAAACACAAAACCTGATATATAGAGAGGAGGAAGAAAAAAAGAGACCCAGAAGAACAGAAACAGAGACGGAGAAAAAGAAAGAAGAAAAAAAAAAAATACAGAGAGAGAAAAAGATAGAAAAAAAATAAATAAATAAGAGACCTGAAAAAAAAAATACCAGTCTACTAGAGACCCAGAAAAAGAAAGAAGAAAATCAGAGAAATAGAGAAGAAGAAGAAGAAAAAAAAAAAAGGTTGAGATATAGAGATTAGAGCAAATGAAGAGAGAGAGAGAAGAGGAGAACTGGAGAAGGAAAAAAAAAAAAACTGACCTGTTAATTTGATAGACCCAGAAAAAGAAAGAAGAAAATCAGAGAAATAGAGAAGAAGAAGAAAAAAAAAATTAAAAAAAAAATTAAGGGGCAAGAGAGAGAGAAAAGAGAGAGAGAAGAGGAGAAGAGAAGAGGAGAACAGGAGAAGGAAAAAAAAAAAAAAAACAAAACTGACCTGTTAATTTGATTTGGTGATTCCTAGCCGGACGGACTGGTAGCCCTCTCCTCTTCTCTGCTCTTCTCTTCTCTTTCTTTCTCTCCTCTCTCTTCTCTTTCTCTTTCCCACTCCCACACGTCTTTATTTCTGCTGCAGCCTTTGCTCTTTGACTGATTTGTTTTGTTGATTGTTGGGAGACATTGGGTTGCCAAGTCACAAGAAAACTTTTCTTTTTGTACTCTTTCAAAAGCTGTAACTATATATATATATATATATAACTATATATATATATATATATATATAATAATATAAACTAAACAAGCAAACACAAAGTACACGTAATACATCAAATAAATATATGAAGGAGCATAGAATATATGAAGCGCGCCTCTTAAACTATCCAAGGCGCAACACAGGTGCGCGCCTAGTGAAGGTCGCTGCGCCTGGGCTAGCATGAGGTGCATGAGGTGCGCCTGTAGGCGCCTTGTGCCCAGGAGCGCTTTGAATAACACTGGATGGGCTTTGGCGAGCATTGGAGGAGATGGATTCTTTTCTGTATTTCCAGTGTTCGATTCTCTGTCATTGTGAATGGAGCTCCGACGGATTTTTTCTATTCTTCGAGAGGGTTGAGACAAGGTGATCCGCTTTCTTCATTCCTGTTCCTTTTTGTGATGGAAGCTCTTAGCAGATTACTAAAGAAGGCAGTGGAGTTAGATTTTTTGAGAGGCTTTCGGGTGGGCAGGGTTGTTTCTAACCAACTAGAGATCTCTCACTTGATGTTCGCGGATGATACTTTAGTGCTTTGTGATGCTGATGAGTCTCAATTGAGATATTTGAAATGCGTTTTGATTTGGTTCCAAGTTGTCTCTAGCCTTAAGGTGAATGTTGGTAAGAGCATCATGGTACCTGTTGGGGATGTCCCTAAGATCGAGAGGTTTGCTCAGATTCTTGGATGTTGCACTGGATCCTTTCCCATTTCTTATTTAGGGTTGCCTTTGGGAACTCCTTCGAGATGCGTAGGGAGTTAGGATCCAGTTGTAGATAGATTTGAGAGGAGGCTAGCGGATTGGAAAAGCAGTATCTCTTAAAGGGGGGTCGGGTTACTCTGATTAAGAGCACCCTTTCTAGCCTCCCCACTTATTTCTTCTCGCTCTTTTAGATCCCATCTTCTGTGGCTGAGAGAATAGAGAGATTGCAGCGCAACTTTCTTTGGGGGGGGGAGAGGAGAGGAGTTCAAATTTCATTTGGTTCGATGGAAGCAGGTGTGCCGTCCGATTCGGTGTGGAGGTTTAGGATTAAGGAGATTGGTGCCTTTCAATAAGGCTCTCCTTGGGAAATGGTTATGGAGGTTTGGGATTGAGAGGCATTGGCTTTGGAGGAGAGTTATCGCAAGCAAGTTTGGGGAGATTAGTGGTGGGTGGTGCTCTGCTGAGATTCGCGGTACTAGAGGGGTGGGGGTCTGGACTATTATTCGGAAAGGGTGGGATGATTTTTGCAAGCATGTTCGCTTTCGGATCAAAGATTGCAGAAGGATCAGATTTTGGGAGGATCTTTGGTGTGGGGAACTTCCTCTTGCTCTCGCTTTTCCACGGCTCTATAGGATTGCTTCTCATAGACAGACCATGGTGATTAACTGTTATCACCTCGATAACGGGAGACTGACTAGGGATGTTCAGTTTAGGAGGCACTTTCAGGACTGGAAGATTGAGGATGTTACTCGTCTTTTGGAAGTTTTGTACCGTCAGGCGATCATTGTTGGGGATTCGGATTGCTAGTTTTGGGTTCCTAACTCTCACGGTCGGTTCGAGGTTAGGTCCTTCTTTAAGTGCCTTGCGGTTGATTATGGAGGCTCTTTCCCTTGGAAGTCTATTTGGCGGTCTAAAGCCCCCCTTAAGGTTGCCTTTTTTGTATGGACTTCTGTCCTAGGCAAGATTTTAACCCAGGATAATTTGAGGAGGAGGAATCAGGTGGTGGTCAATCATTGTTATATGTGCTTGTGTGATGAGGAGACAGTTGACCACCTCCTTTTGCACTGCAGTATGGCCAGAGATTGTTGGGATTTGATGCTTGGATTATTTGGAATCCATTGGGTTATGCCTAGGTCTTCTAGAGGGTTGATTGAGGCTTGGAGAGGTGTCTCTGTTGGGGCTCTTATTCGGGAGGCTTGGAGGGCTACGCCTCTTTGTATTTGGTGGTGCATTTGGCTCGAGTAAAATAGGAGATATTTTGATGGAAAGAAGAAATCTATTTCTACGCTTAAGTTCTCTATTATTTCCACTCTTTTTTGTTGGGTGTCAGGGAGAGATCATAAATCCATTGAGGAGATTATTTTATTTTTGGCCTCGTTGAAGATTTAAGGCGCTTTGTGGCCTTTTTGTTATCATGGGTTCCGCTCCCCTTTTTTTGAGCGTTTTCAATAAATTTTACTTATCAAAAAAAAAAAAAAAACTATCTTATACAGGACAACGTGTTAGGCAATAAGAAATAAAAATAATTTATTCATGCACCTGAGATAAGAATGCCAAGGTAAATGATATAAGTGATTAGAGAAAATATGATTAATGAACAACGCGGCAATTGGAGTAGGCTTATAAGTGATAAATTAGAAAGAAGTATGCTTAGGCGGTATGGACACATACAACATACACTCCTAGAAGCACCAGGAAAATTAATTTGCATAAAAGGTAAGAAACAAAGGAGTTGACCAAAACTAACACAAGATGAAGTCGATATAAATGACTTAAAAATTAAATATAATAGGAGGTATGCCTTATAAAAATAAAATAAAAATAAAGGGAAAGAAAAATCATGTGGCCCAACCAATTCATACGGATTAAAGGCAAATATAATGATAAAGCTCGCTCGCTTCAGTAGTTCAGTTACATCCCATCCTCTAACTTATAAGCTACGTTAAGGGGGTGATGACGATCAAGCTTTGTGAAAAAAAAATTTAACTTGCACACTAAATTAAGAAAAGGATTTATTTAGATGAAGAACATAGACCTAAGAAGGCATGGAAAAGTGATGTTAACCCATAAAGAGAAAAACAAGCATATAACAAACACAAATAATTGGCTCAACATTTTAATATACTCTAGATGGAGGCTTTATGTAATAACCCGTCTCCATATTTATTATTATGTGATTTATTTAATATGGTCTACTTATAAGTTATAACAAATTTAATTGAATTAGATGGATAATTTACTGGGATTTGGACAGATTTAGGAAACCTAGCTATATTTTATAAGTAAATCAACTGACAATAAGTAAGAAACCTTATTTTTATTATAACAGTTTGTCTTTTTACAATTTAAGAGAGAGCACATGAAGGTTATTTCCAATATGATTAGGAGACTTAAGATATTTAGGAATTGTATATCTTATAGAGACCCATTAGAAGTTTACCTCTATATCTCCACTAGTGGATTACAACTGCACTATAAATGTGTGTGGGTGGGAGGGTTGGTGGGCGTTGTGCTACATGTGGTGCACTGTAAGGAAAAAAAAAAAAATTACCTCCGTAAGGTGTGATCTAAAGATAGTTCAAATTTTTACTAAATTACATAATATTTATTGAGGTTGGATAATTCGAGGTGTAAGGATGCTTATTTTGTAGTTTTATGAAGGTTAATAACTGAGGGCGGGCTTTGATGCAATGATAAGGTTACTCCATTGTGACCTGAATGTAAAGGATTACGAAAAAAAAAAAAAAAAAATCAATCTCTCTTCATCAGAGATAAGGCTATATACATCTGACCCTCCCAGACCCCACAATGGCAGTAGCTTTGTGCACAAGAGTAGGCCTTTATGAAGGTTGATAAATGATCGTCGTAGGAAAATAATTATTTCAGAAGGAAAAAAAAAAAAAGTCTCATTAATGTTTTGTGGATTTTAATTATCACACCTCGAATATCTGATTAGCTCTGGTATTGTTTGGGTAATCGAAGTTCCAGGTATGAAAGTATGACAGGCGTGGATAGGATTCCACATTGCCCGGGAAGGGAGAAGAAGTTGAGAATATAGGGGCGATTGCATACCATATATTACCAATGTGTTCTAAAGAGTGTGAGGGAGAAACCAAAGCAGATAATATTGTTGTTGTAGTGGTGGATCCTGACACTTTAACAACAGCAACTAGGATAACAATAAATCAAAAACACACAAATAACAACGTAAATACTAGTATAAAATACAAGGAGGATCTGAAAATAGCAATCAGCACAACGGCAAATAACAAAGAACTAGTATGCATCACAATACCTTTAGAATGATGCCCACCGGAAGCAAGTATTCCCTCCCTTGAATCCTATAAAGATGAACAGAAAAATATGTACTTGGTTACTAATGAAGGTCACTGATTAAAAAAAAAAAAAAAAAAATTAAAAATAAAATCACTATGATATTATTCGCATTGCTCACCAAAATCCAAGTCTTGCACTTCCATTGCTAAGATAATACAGTCTAACAGTTACCGCAGATTGATCTTCTCTAACACACCTAGTGTGAAAATAAAATTGTAATCACCATACAATACTCTTTATAAGGTAAAAAGATAAAATAGTATAGAAATAATCATGTGCTACACGGAAAATGTTTGCTCTTGAAATTTGAAAATAAAAATGAAAAAAGAAAACTAAAGAAGGTCATGTGGGCCATTTTTCAATTTTAAAGGCCCCATATTCTAAAAACCTTTCCTGAAGAAGGTACATTTTGCAACATGTTCATGAAAGACAACTCTTAAAAGCCAAGTGAACAATCTTTTCATGTTACTTTCTTTTCATTTTTTTTCCTTTTGTTTCTAATAACCAAATGCATTTGTTGTTCCCAATAGACAATCTATCTTAATAATCCACAAAAGTTTGTAACTAATAAAGCTATGTCCCATAAAACAAGGACCAAGAAATTTTATCAACAGGTTCAATATAAAATGGATCAAAGAGTAAAGCCACACCCCTATTGTAATATTAGGAAATATTCTTGTGAAACATGTTGTAACTAAGTAAATATGGCACAAAACCAATGTGAATAGGCATAAGAAAGAAAGTGTTTTACAAATGACTGGGTTTTTAAGAGATGAAAACAATGATAAATTGGTTGTTACAATTTTTAGAGAAATAATTAAAAAGGTTAAAAGAATTTGAATGAACTATAAAGATTTTCTTATTGGAGGTCCATGAAGACTATGGTCATTACGCTACAAGTTCTCCCAAAAAGAAATTCTAGATCCACCACTAACAAAGTACCTAACGTGAAGGGAGAATTTAGAATAGCCTTTGGAAATGGTCCTCCAAGTGCAAGAATAACTCTCCATAATAACCAAATTAGAGTCCCATGTATCATCTTTACTTTTGATTACCAAAAAGCAAAAAAAGCTTTTCTTGTTACAAAATATTTACAATCGCTTGATTAAAAGATATGTCCCTAGTAACCAAGTTAACCAAACCTAAAGCAGCTTTCCTTTCCTGACCAACAAACCACCTACTGAGAAACTAAGTCATTGCAATTACTTATTGATGTCTAATTATTCAGGCAATAATAGGAGTAGTATATTGTACCAGGACTTGTGGTTCACTTTTCCCAAGTAATGGGGAAGAAGCGAAAATATGCCACTAAAAGACTCAAATGAAACACAGACAGAACATCAAGAATTTGGATTATGTAGGATGAGCAGTCGGTCAAATCTGTCATGGATCGTATGTGGTAGTAAGAGGACCAAGTTGGCCCTTATGTCTAGCTTGATGCACTATCTCCACTGATGAAAAACTTAACACAAAACTCCAAATAAGGAAAACCCTTTATATGGTCTTGAATAAATATTCTCAATTTTCTGAGTGATAATCTGATAGATAGAAATATGCAATTAAATAAGGAGAAAATATATTGGAGTACTGCAAAAATATATATAAGATTAGCAAAACCTATAGACATCAATTAATCATAGGAAACTCTCTAGGGTTGCCATGCAAAGGGAGACCCAAGAATTAAAAAACAAAACTACTAAAAGTTGTTCTAAAAACCCTAACATCCTCATATACTCTTTAAGTCAATTTCAAGGATAAAATCTTATTTATTTTTTTTAAAAGCCTCAAAATTAGGAATGAGAAAGGGGCAGGTATGGACGGGTTCTCCTAAACCTCACCCAACCCCATTTATCAATGGCCAGTCACCACCTTGTCATGAATGACACCAAATCTTCGTCCCATAACTGAGGGATTAATGACAGCCATGGCCAGTAGCCACCCTGTCTAGCCCTACTAACCAAGACTAAGAATGAAAATTTTGGAACAAGAGGAGAAGCGATATGAGATCGGATTGAAATACATTAGAAATCTACAGGTATAAAAATAGATGCTGACGCGCGCGAGCGTGAATGTGTTATAGATATAAAATAAAAAAATATCATATATATATATATATATGAATGAGAGAGACAGAGAGAGGAGGTTTGGCCTATCTTTGCCTGAAGATACTAGAAAAGAGGCAACATCACCACTGAGAGCCAAGTGGAGAGATGCCACCATGACAGATGCGCACGAGCAAGAGAGAGAGAGAGAGAGAGAGACATCATCCTCATTTGAAAACTGATGGATGTTAAAAACCCTAGGGCAGTAAGACATGGCATACATATTTAAGGGTATTTAAGAAAACTAAAGATAAACAAGGGTATCAATGTCATTTTGTTATATAAGCAGGGCAGAACAATCACATAACCGTCCTGCCCCGAACCCGGATCAGGTTTATTCTAATTCAACCAAACCAGCTCCTATTCCATCCCATTAGGACGGGGCGGACTAAATTAATACCCCTACTCAAAATTTGTTAAAATAATCCAATGATGAGAATAATGCTCCAAATTTTGCAAAGGCTGCTTGATAGCTTGAAATTCTTTTGGATTTTGTAGATAGCTTGAAATTAATGTCTCCTTGAGCACCTTTTGTTATTTGGGAGCGCTCCCCTTTTGAGTGCCTTTAATGAATTTTACTTATAAAAAAAATAATAATAATAATAATTAAAAAATCAGAAAAGGGTGTCCTATTTTCAGATAATAGAAAAACAGAAAACAATTCGAAATTTCACTTGGTTGGCAATTTTCTGAAACAATTCTATCAATTTTTTTTTTTTTTTTTTTCATAAGTAAAAATGTATTAGAAAGCATTTAAAAGGGAAACGCGTCTCAAGAGCTGTACAAAAACCAAAAAAGAGAAAGGGGAAGTCCTATGGACCCAAAGAACCCAAAAAGTCCACGATTTCATCTAAAGATGTACAATCTCTCCCCCAACCCCAACTAAAAAGAGAACAAATAATACAAAAACTTCAACGCTCCAATGGAAGATTCCTCCCCATCAAAAGATCTTCTATTCCGCTCTTTCCAAAGGCTCCACCAAACACATAGGGGGGTCACCCTCCAAAAATCGCGAACATGTGCCCCCACCCTCTGGCCCCTCCAAATGTCAATCAAATCCCTCGAGGTTCGGGGCACAACCCACTGGACACCAAAAAGTCCCAAAATAAGACTCCAGCAGTCATGAGTCACAGGACAATCAACAATGTAAGAGCAGGTGATCCACGGACTCTCCATCATTCTTACACAAACAAAACCGTTTGATAATGATTTGTCTTCTCTTCCTCAAATTGTCCAAAATCAAAATCCTACCCCAAGCTGCGGTCCAAACAAAAAAGGCCACCCTAAGAGGCGCCTTCGAATGCCAAACCGTTTTCCATGGGAAAGTGGTACCGGGAAACCCAGAGAGAGAAAAAGAAGGACCGGATCTGAAAGGTCCCGTGCGAAGAAGGCACCCGCATCAAGGAATCCGAACCAGTACCATCCACCTCCTGTCTATACAAGAGGGCAGCAAACCAATGACGTCATCCAACTCCCAATCCTGAAAAGATTGCCAGAACCGCAGATCCCAAAACAACCTACCGCTATCAAGACAATAGTAGTCAGCAATCCTGAACAACCTTGGGAACAAACAAGACAAAGGATGATAAGCATCCTCCCAAAACCAAACGTCCCTTCCTTCCCAAACTCTGAATCTAATATGCTTAGAGAACTCATCCTACCCCTTCCCAATGATTTCCACACCCCCACGCCGACAGCAGATCTGACCGGCCTTGCTGACCATCCTCCTCTCTCCTCCCCAAAACGACATGAAATAACCTTCCTCCGTAACCTATGTCTTTCACTGCAGAATCTCCATAGCCACTTGCCTAGGAGTGCTCTGTTGAAAGGGTCCAATCTCCTAATCCCAAGACCTCCCAACTTAAAGGGCCTGCAAACCTACTTCCACCAGACAAGATGAAATTTAAATTCCTCCCCCCTGACCGCCCCATAGGAAATTATGTTGAAGCATCTCAAGTCTTCTAATAACAGAGGAGGGGATCTGGAAAAGCAAAAAAAAATAGGTTGGAAGGCTGGACAATGTACTCTTCACTAAAGTAACTTTTCCGCCCTTTGAAAGATATTGTTTTTTCCACCCAGCCAACCTTCTCTCGAACCGCTCAATCACCGGGTCCCAACTTCCCACCCTTTCTCAATATCAAGCTTACACAGAACTCCAGGAACACCACTACTAAGCCTAAAATCCACACATTCACGGGCAATGAGAGCGGAATCCAGGATCTGTCTACCCTATGAACGCATTTTGAGACTCAGAGATGACTCCGTCCAGAACCTCCCTCAATCTTAATGCAAGGACTTTAGCGATAAGCTTATACATACACCCAATCAGACTTATTGGTCTAAAGTCCTCAACGTCAAAAGCAATAAAAGAAGAATTCAGCGACTTTTTGAACCTCCCATTAGAATGGAACTCATGAAAAGTGCCCATAACCTCCTGTCTAACCACCCCCTAGCTCTCCAACAGAAATCTCATCGTAAACCCATCCGGACCTGGAGCCTTGTCACCATTACAACTCTTCAAAGCCTTTAGAACCTGATCCTCTGTAAAGGGGCTCTCTAACCCATCCCTGTCCACAGCTGAAATACAATCAAAATGAAGACCATCAAGCCGTGGCCTCCAGCGAATAGGCTCAGAGTAAAGCCTTTGGTAAAAAAAAAAAAAACAATCCCCCTACGCACCTCCTCCTCTGTATTCAACAACGTTCCGTCCACACACATCTGCCCAATATTGTTGCCCCTTCTATGAACATTAGCAATTCTAAGAAAAAACATTGTATTACGGTCTCCCTCTTTAAGCCACAAGGCCCGAGATTTCTGACGCCACGAGATTTCCTCCATAATTGCAATCTCAACACATTCTGCATAACAAGCTGCTCTCCTATTACGCTGGGACTTGACAAGACCACCCACCCCTTCCAATCTATCAATCTCAGCAATGTCAGCGAGGGCCTTATTCTTCCTCCACTCCACAGATTACCGAACACCTCCTTATTCCATCTTTTGAGTTTGTTTTTCAGGAGGCGAAGCTTTCCTGCTAAAATAAAGCTCGACGTTCCCACCACCATATCCTCCTCCCACCAAGACTGCACAATCC